CGGCGTGCCGCGTGCCGTTGCGCCGGGGTGCCGGCGGGCTCTCCGCCTGGCAGCTGCAACCGGCGTGGGTGAAGCCGCAGCGGCGGGCGCCGGGAGCCTGCAGGCACTCCTCCAGCCAGCGGCAGAGCACGCTGCAGGTGAACTGGCTGGAGTTGTTGTTGTTGATGAGCAGCACCTCCACGAAACGGAATTCCAGGGCTTGGGGGGCCAGGAGGCGGGGGGCCGCCTCGGGCTCGGCCGCCAGGCACAGCTGCACAAAGTTCTTGTCGAAATGGAGGAAAGTGAAGGGCCCCGCGCCCTCGCACAGCTCCAGCTCGGCTTCCTCCTCCTCTTCCTCCTCCTCTGGCCGCTGGCGGGCGGGCGGGGGGCTGGCGGCCTCGCCGCGGGGGTCGCAGGTGTAGTTGGCCAGGTAGTGGTCGAGCGGCAGCACCATGGGCGAGAAGTGGGTGCAGACCTGCTCCTCCCGGTTGAAGCGGAGGTAGAGCGAGTACTTGGTGGGGTCGGGGTTCTCCAGGGTCCAGGAGCAGCCGGAGGAGATGGTGGGGAAGAGGTCCTTGAGGGAGAAGGAGCCGTAGAGGACGCCAGAGGCCAGAGCGGAGCAGGCGCTGGGAGCCGGGTCGAAGCCCCGCGTGAGCCACAGGAGAGACGATATCACAGCCAGTAAGAGGGGACCAGCAGCGGTCATCCTATGGCATTTGCCCTGGGGGGAGAGACAGACGGACAGACAGACAGACAGACGCTTACCGGGAGGCACGCCGCTGCGGCCGCCCCGCTGTGTCGGGGGAGTGCGGAGCTGGTACGGGGAGGTCAGCATCCTGCACCGAAGCCCCGGCCGGTGTGGGAGCACCATCGCGGCTGGTCCGTGTCCCCAGCCGCCACTTTGCAGGCAGGGGACAGCCATCGGAGACCCCCGTCCCGTCCCCCAGGCTGTGCCAAGGCAGCCCCCAGGTTGGGGAGCGGGCAGCACAGACCGGGGACTTTACCCCAAAACTACCAGAGCGGAGACCTGGCTCCCACCCCGCAGCCGGCGGACCCCCACCGCAGTGACCCCCCCTGCCCTCGGCTCACCCGCCAGAGCCGGCCAAGCACAACCTGGGCAAAAAGCCACCAAAGAGCTTCTGCCCAGACGGGGCTATAAAACGCCTTGTAGCTATTGCTGGTGCCCCAGAGCACCGTGGGGACAGGCCGGCTCCTCAGTGAAGGAGTCTGGGGCGATGTGCTGGGGGGTGCACGGTCACCCCAATAGCATGGTGTGTCCCCCACCCGCTGCCAAGAGCCCGGCACAGGGCGAGCGATCGTTAAAGTACATATTTCTTGGACACCACGCTGGGTACGCAGCAGCATCGCCGTGGATAGCTTTTTAATAACTCATTAATAAAATAATGCACACGGTGGCCTTATTAAGCAGGACCAGAGCGTGGCTCTACAGAGGCCGAGGCCACCGCGCGCGTGTGTTGGCATCGCTCTGCCGGGCCAGCCTGCGCCCGGGGCAGCGGCAGCGAGGGGGCAGCCCCAGGGATGGCAGGGTGACTGCAAGGGACAGATACCATTCCAGGGGGTGATTTCCAAAATCACCGAGGGCCCCGCTCCCCTCCGTCCCAGTTATGTGTGAGGGATGCCGAGTGCTCGGCATGACGCAGGAATGCTCTTCTCCATCCCCAAAGAACATCTCCTGCCCCCAAATCACCCCTGGCTGAGGCCCTGGTACCAGGGCATCCCCCTGCTCATCGGGGAGGGAGCATGAGCCTCGGCCGAGCCTGCGCCGAAGCCACAACAGGCACATTAGAGAGCTAAAAATAACCCGGCTCTCATGCAACAGGCTGGCGCTGGCTCCCGCTGCCCCGGCAGCACGGGGGCTCGGTGCCGGCAGCCGGCCCCCACCAGCGGCACGCAGGCATGGGGAGAAAGGAGTTGGGATGGAGCCAGTGGAAACAGCCAGGCCTGGGGTCGGATCCAGGCAGGACCCCCTGATGTAAGCAGGGAGATCTGGGGCAAAAGAAAACCTCACTTTCCTGCAGCCACTTCCACCCCTGGGAGACCCTGGGGAATTCAGCAGGAGACCCCCCCACTTGTGGCAGCAGCAGCGGGGAGCCAAAGGGCAGCCAGAGCGGGGAGCCCCATGGGCATCCCCCACTGATGCTCCTCCAGTACCCAGCAAGGATCTGGGGTCCCCCGGCGAGTCACAGCCCTCCACTGCTCCGGGAGAGCTGGGGATGGGAGGAGGAGGAGGAGGAGGCAGAGGAGGAGGAGGTCAGGCAGGGACACGCTGCCGTTCTGCAGCGAGCTCCTGGGGCTCCTGCAGCCTGGCAGGGACACAAGATGGTGCTTGCTTCCTTCGCCCGGGAGCAGCAAGGAAGGATACTCCGGCACCGCCATCCGTCTGTCCGTCCCTCCTGCCCGGCTCCTGCCGGTGGCCAGCTTGCCGCTGGGGCAAACCGGCTCCTGGGAAGCTCAGCGGGGATGGGCACGGCTGGGCAATCCGCTGCTGTGCCTCCCCGGGCTTCCCGCGTTTTAAACACGGCACCGTGCAAGACCCAGGTGCTCTGGACCACGGGGAGCCTCCCCCCACCCCAAAAAACCTGCCGGGCCCAACGCTGCGGCTGCCCGAGAGCCCGGCACCGTGCTGTAGCTGCTCCTGAAGGCCAGGGCTCGTTAAGAGCAGATCAAATCTGATACAGCTCGTTCAGCACCAGCCCCGCTCCCTGCAGTGCTTGCTGTTGCTGCTGCAGTGAAAATATTTCATTGAGCTGCAAGCTGGGCCCGAGAAGATGTTTAACATCTGGGGCACCCAGTCACCCAGCGGGAGTTGCCAAGCGGTTTGAGAAGGGGCCACCGTCACCCCCCACCCGGCACGGTGGCGAGGACCTCGCACCCCACAGCATCGCCGTCGGTGTGCTCCGGCAAGGGCGAGCCCAGCCTTGCCGGGGTGCCAGGGCACAGCCCCGCTGCCCATCGCCCCTCCGAAACGGCCTCGGTCCATGCAGAAGAAACCACCTGGCACCGGCATCTGCATCCCGGCACCGGTGGCAAAGCCTGCGGATGGGGGGGGGGGTGCCGGGTGCCCCCAGGGACCTGCTGCACCCAAACGCCTTGTTGAACTGCTGCGGGAGCGGGCGCTGCTCCCCAGGGACGGGGATGGCACCTAGAGGTTGGCTGGCACAGGCTGGCACGCTCGCCCGCTGCAGCACCCGCTCCAGCCCCTTCCATTTGCCTTTGTTCCCCGCCCGGGGAATGGGGAAGGGGGTGGGTTTTTAATTAAAGCTTTTAAAGAGCCATCACAGAGCCGAGCAGCGACTGTGCAGAAGCGACATCCAGGGCTCCCCGTCCTCGGCAGTCAGAGCACGGTCCCTCTCCATCGCTGCCATCGCATCCCTCCTGGCTCCGGTAACCGGCAGGATCCAACCAGGGCTCGCCTCTCCCTCGCTAGCAGCCGCGGCACAGCAGGAAAAGGCACTGCTTCACACCAGCCCCGCTCGCGCCACACAAACAGGTTGTTTCCCTGAAGATGCTTCGCCTGAATGGAGATTTCGGCAGGGACTTGGTCCAGCTCCATCCTCCCGGCACGGCGGGGGCCGGCTTCTGACTGTCGCGCTTCTGCTCGGCTGTGGCCGCCCCTCTCCGGCCAGGCAAAGCCAGAAACAACCAACCAGCCCCAAAAGTGATAAACAGGCGGCACTAAACCCCGCTGGCATTAATAATCTGAAAAACGATTAATAGCAAAGTAAAGGAGATTTGGGTTTTGAGAGACACAGTTTTTAACCCGGCAGTGTTCTTTTAATAGGCTGTGGAAAATACACGTTCCGTAAGAATTCCTAACATGAGGATGGCTCGGGACAAGGGCACGAGGGTAAGGAAGGACCGGGCAGTCCTCGGTGTTGAACCGCGACGGGAACGGCATCACTCCCTGCTGAACGGCAACAGCATCCGGGGAGGAGCAGGCTGGCTGGTGGCACAGCACGGCATGGCCATGCGGCCACAAAACGGGCTCCATCCCATGGGAGCACATCCCTGCCTGCCCAGAGGTGATGCCGACGAACAAAGCACTGTAACGAGCTCTTCCCATCAGGAGAGTCTGCAACCCTCCAATTTCCACGATCTTCACTAGCGGTTCAAAGGCATCCGGGAACTTCAAAGCCGCCTCCGCTACCTCCGCGCTCAACCCTCGCCGCTCTGCGCCCGTCCTCCCGGCACGAGGAACCCCCAGCACCAAACCCCTGCCCGGCCCTCAGCAGCACCGACACAGCCTCTCCACCAACTAATTAAAGCTGCGAGCATCGCCGGGCGAAAGTACTGGAGCAACCTCACTGAGATCACAGCCTTCAGTCCTCGCCCCCCCAGAAAACACGGCTTCCCGCAAAGCATGTGCATGCACACGTGCGTGCACGCGTGGGCTCCCGTGCACGCATGGGCACTCGGCGGGTAGATGGGTATCCGTGCCGCTCCCACCCACCGCGGCACAATCCCCCCCCGGCGCTCGGGACCACGTTTCCCCCCGCTCTGCCCTCCCACGTCTCCCCCTTCCCCACGCACTCCCCCTCTCCCTCTGGCTTCCCCGGCGCTCTGCCACCACCTTTCCTGAAGCAGGCAGGCTGGCAGCAGCACCGAGCTGTAATTAATGGTGCCGCTTTGCCAATCACTGGCTCAGCCTCGCTAGCACTGGCAAGCACAGGCCTTTTTATTTATTTTACTTAACTGCTGTTGGTAAAACTCCACTCCAAAAGCAAGGCCGAGACAGCACAGTGAAATCTCCACCAGGATTAGGGATTACGCTCTGCCAAGGAACAGGGTGTGCTGCCTCCCCCTCCGCAGCTGCGGGGGTCCCTGGAGGCGAGTTCCCCCCCACACCCCCCCCCCGGCAGCAGGGCACCCGCAGGGGTTGCAGCAGCCGCGGCTGCTCCCGTTGCTCTCCCGCGGCCTCTTCCGAGTAGTTTCCACGTTGCTGGGATGCGGCTCCCTCTTCTCCATCAGCTCCATCCTGCCCTAGCACTGTACGGCAAAGGGATGGGGGGGGGGCTGAGAGCCCCAGCAGGGCTCCAAAGGGGGGGCCGAGTTGCAGGGGTGGCAGCCTGGATGTGTGCTCATGCCGGAGGGGGAGGTTTTTTGTAACCCACCGTCTCAGCCAGACCCAGATCCGCCGGGAGCCTCCGAGGTGCCCCGAGGAGGAGAAGGGGCCTGGCTCCAGCCCGCTCTTGGAGGACATCAAGAACGAACAGACGGGATGAGAGCAGGGGGGACGCGATGGCCCCCGTGAGCACCGAGGAGCTACGGAACCTCTGATGCTTGGCAACCGAGCCGGGTGGCCCAGAGCCAGCCCCGTCCCCATTAAAGGACGGCTCCTTGGTAGGAAATGAGTTTGCAGGGCCTCGGTCCAAATTCCCATGGAGGAGCGTTGAGGCGTCGCAGCAGCCCAGCCCCGAGGGCTGTGCGGGGGTGGCGGGGGCTGGACCAGGGCTAGCGGCTCATCCCATGGTCTGTGCGTCCATCCGTCCGTCCAGAGCATCACCTTCCTCCAGGCAGAGGGGACACGGGGAGCCCATCTTGCAGCCCCCATCCAAGCCAGAGCACAGGGACTCAGCAGCGATGGGAACAGCCCAAGCGAAGGAAAATCCATCTATTCCCACTGCTCTGTGCGGGAGGCTGGTGCCAGGGCCGGGCTCTCGGCAGCCCACAGGGGAGGACAGAGCC